ATGGCCTAAACGATAGTGCCATAATTTCGACAACGCATCGTGAGCTCTCTTTCGTTTTCTGTTTCCATTGTTCGATGAGGATACATTTTCATTCACATCACATACGGAATTCACATTTTCACGAAGTGATAACAAATAAAGCTCGTCTTGTCGGAAGGCAAGACCAACACATTTATTATTAAACAATATCTGACATTTGCCATTTCCAAAATGGCAATCATAACCATCATGGTCCAACTTTGATACACTAATCAGGTTTCTTTGCAAGGAAGGTACATAAAGAACATCTCTAAGAAAAAGTATGAAGCCATCTAGAAGCTCTAGAGGAAGATCTCCAACGGCCTCAACATCTGCTTGTACTCCATTTGCGACTTTAATGAAACTTTCGCTTCTTTGCAAAGTTCTCATCGAACGGAATCCCTTTATTCTTCATAATCATCTTTAAAAAATCAAGACAATTCTTTTTATAATGTCCCGTCTTCTTGCAGTGGAGACACTGGTCTTTAGCCACTGGGAATTGCTGGTTCTGAGACTGTTGCATGTGACCTTTTCCAGATGATTTGGAGGAAGAGCTGTTATTATAGTTCTTTTTCTTATCTTTTAGGTAGTTGACAGAACCACCTTGTGAAACTTTTATTCTTTCCTCCTCCTGCTCACACATGGCTATGAGCTTTTCTAAATCCCATTTTTTCAGGCTGTATGTTGTAATTAACAACAAAGGTGTCAAATTCTTTGGGCAAAGAAGCAAAAATCAAATGAATAAGAAACTCATCCTTGAGTGCCAAATCCATTGGTTTGAGCTTAGATGCCGATTGCTCATTTTCAAGTTATGTGCTCTCTAATGCCACGGCCGCCACCGAAGTACCTTTCTATAACCACTTGTTGATCAACCGGGTTGCATATCTTTTTGAAGAGCCAAAGAACCGACTCTTTATTCTTTCTAGGTACTTCTGTGTGACCGTGTCACGATCTGAATTGAGCCCACAATAGCGAGCTCAATCGTGTTTTTATCACCGCCAAACACTTCTTGTTGGCGGTGACCCATTTCCTATGCTCAAGGTCATAGGACATCTTTACGGAGCAAAATCCCGCTCTGCTTACGCCATGCGACATCGGTCCTCATCTGTCTCTCTCACCGGTGCCACAGGTTCTTTGGGACACGGTGTGGTGACAACCCAGTCCACCTCAGCGAGGATAAAAGCCAGGTCTATCTTTTTCTTCCACTCAATATAGTTATCACCTTTTAGAGTGGGGATCTCTTTGATACAACTCATTAAGTTGTATCCTCCTCAAAACACAATTCAAATAGTGTGAGAACAAAATAACAACAATAATTACATGCCTTAGTTTAACGTTGGTCAAAATTAAAACATACAATTATTTTATACATTAAATCTACATCACCGTTGGGCGTAAATAGAAATAATGCATAATCATTAAAATTATAATATTGCTATTAACAACGTTGGTCGGGAAAATAACAATATCATAATCAACTTATATTTATCTCTTGGCTCTTAAAATCAAATTCTCCCGTTGGTTCAATTTAATTAAAAGTCCATAATTACTTTAAATACGCAATGAAACATTAATATTCAATGATCATTTTCCTATTTTCCGAAGCTAACTTTACTATTTATCAACAAAATTATCGTTGGATGAATTTTGTACGAAAAATTATCACAAAAATTCAATTCAAATTGATCAAACTGCTTTTCTGGAAAATAAGAAAATAAAAAATCTGGATCAGATTATTTTATTTGGCCATTTCGCCCGATCCAAAGAACAAACCCATGGCTTGTTCACACATTACCACCAGTAAGCCCAAAGACACCACTGCCACAGCCAAGCCACCAGCATACGACTCTCTCAACCCAACTTGCCATGCCAGCCATGTAAGACATCTTCCACAAGCCAAGCAACCTAGGCTCGGGCTGGGATTTCAAATGAAGCAAAGATCGCCACTGGGCCAAAGAGGCCCGAGCCCTCCGGCCGTTGATCTCGGATCGACGGTGGAGCGCCAGACTCGGGGCATCAAAAACCCCCCGGCCGACCGCGCCTCCCTCAACCCTAGCTTCATTTTTCACGCTCACACTCTCTCTCTTTGCCTCACTGCTCTCCTTTCTCATCTCAGTGAATCACCGAGCGAGCAACCATGGCGAAGCAGCGAGGTCCCAAGACCGTCGCCGCCCCCTCACCGGCGTCTGCGCTCCCAGCTGTGTGGCGCGCATTGTCAGCGGCTCCGCCATGGCGCCCTGGCTTTGGATCCCATGATCCGTGAGCCGCCCCCACTCACGGCCTCTCTCTTTTCCTCGCAAACGTCGGCGTGCTCGACAAATGAGGTGAGCCGAGCCACCTCTTCCCCTTCTTTCCCGTTCGGTTTCTTTGATTCGGATTTTCACGATTTTTCCGATTAGGGTTAGGGTTAGGGTTGGGGACGACAATCTTCTTTCTTTTTCCCGAATCACCTTCCTTTTCTCAGATCCGAAGGGATCGAGTTTAGGGTTCAATCGAACCCTTTGTCGGCCGAAGCCCTTTCTACTTTCTAGATCAAAACCCTAGCCATATCTATACCTAAATCGTGGCTCTGATACCATTGTTGATATTCTTTGGATCGACTAGGGTAGATCTAGGCGGATGAACACTTGGATCCGTGAAGCACATGCACATCTAGACCTAGAACACTACACCGAGAGGGAGATAGGGTAGAGGTGCTGGTGTTGAACCCGAGCCTTGAGGAAGTCGCGGTTGAGTCGCCCATCACCGGGTTAGTTGATGGAGGCAACACACGCGGCAAATGCCGACTACCGGAGTAGAGGTTGCACGGACGTCGATGCAAAGTGCAGACGGCGTGCGTGGCGAAGGATTTACGGTGAAGGTCGGTGAGCTTCCTGTCATTGGTCAAGGCCCCTCTTAGATCGGTCTAGGGTTTGTCGGTGGGGTTTGCGGCTCACGGCGAACCTCGTACTTTGAGCCGCCGCCCCACCTCTTTATATATAGCCTTGATCTGACGGGGCCCACCAACCATGTATGGTTGGGCGCCCCCGATCAGGGCGTGTGACCAAGGCCCAATAGGCCGTTGGGCTTATTGGTTAGGAGATCAATCTAACATAAACTAGCCCACCTAACCTGGTTGTCGAGAAACAAAATGAGATTGATGAGTCTGGCTCGTGTAGCGCACGACACCCATTCCCATTGGCACTTTTCTCTCTATAAAGCTAGTTCATCCGTCGACCCAAACAATCTCTCTCTAACATGTCTCTGTTCAGCTGATCAACCAAATAGAATGCTCTTGCACGAGATGAAACTGGTGGGTAGGGGCCTGGCTAGATGGTATGAGCCGGGCTCAACCTTTCTTCGGACCAGTCACGCTCTTGATGCCTGTCAAGAGAACTTTCTAAATTCTTGAACTAATATTTGACGAAAAGATCTAATATTCAAAGGTTGCTATAGTAATAACTACTAAGATTTATCACGTATTTCATAGATATAGGATGAATACATGTCTATTCCGCCTAAAAACATGATTCCACATAAATAAACGGAAACATCTCCTCCCGCGCGCGCTTCCCGTTCAGTTTCCGTATTCTTTCTACAAATTTGAAAATAAGCACAATAAACATATAGAAAATGGAACAGAGACATAAGTTTTTTTTTGCGAGGATAACCGAGACATAAGTTATCTGATCCTTTTTTTTTATCTCTGATCAGAATGCAAGTGGTGCTTCTGCATCTTCATTCTTTTTTTTTTTTTTGAAACCATCAGCTTCACCGTGAAGCATAAGTTTAACTGAATGTGTAAGGAATCGAAGGAGAGCCGCGAACAATTTCTTGTTCTCGAATTAGAATGTGTTAACAGCAACTGACAAGTGGGCCCACTGATTAAAGGACTTGAGAGAAGCTTGCAGCCGCATCATTCCGCTCACTCAAGTGGTCAGTGACTTTGGGTGCCCTGTCTGCCCACCCCGAGAAAAAAAAAGCACATCGCAGCGTTCGAGGGGGTGTTTAGTTCACTCCTAATTTCAAACTTTGAGACTATATAAAAAGAAGATTCTTTGTTATATTAAACTTGTGGTATATGCATGAAGTATTAAATATTGACGAAATTAAAAACTAATTATACAATTTAGTTGTACTTTACGAGACGAACGTTTTGAGTCTAATTAGTCGACAATTATTAACAAATAAAAACAAAACGCTTGGTACAGTGTTGCTACGTGAATTCAGCCGTCGCCGATTCGGTGAGGCCGAGTAGAACAGCTTCGGCGGCGGCGGCGGCGTCCTTTTCTCCTACCGCTGGCCTGCCCGCGCGATAAATATCTCTCCCAACTCCTCTTCCTCTTCGTACTGTTCTCCAGGGCGAGGGCTTGTCCTCGTCTCCAACGCCGGCAAGAGCTACTACAGAGTTTCTTCCCAAGCGCGATATGAAAGATGCGTGCGGCGGAAACGCAGACGGCGGAGCTGTACTGTAGTGCCACCATGGGATTGCCAAATTGGTTAGCTCTTCCTTCACGTACTGTACATAATTTTATTTTTCCCAGCAGCTCGTAGTGGATGTGGATGTTTTGGCTCCTCCATTTCGATTTTTGGGCAAGGAAGCAGGGCTTTAAGGCAGATTCCATTTCCTCCGTTCCAAACACCATGTGCTGTCAGCCAACAAACATGGGACTTGGATCCCTTTGTAATTCCTTTGAAAAGCCACCGATCCAAGCATGGCCGCTGTCCGTTTTTATTTGGCTATTTCCTAGGGGGATTTGGCGATGCTTTCAAGTCACGGTGAACTGTCCTTTGTATTTTCAGATTTGGAACCAAAGAATTAGATTTTTCTTGTCATGATGTTTGATTCTTTTCTTCCAAATTATCCAAGAATTATATATAGGTTTTCCCATCTTTTCTTCCATTTTTACTGCTCAAATTATGCCTTTGCCCACTGGTCCGCTGGTTAATTACTCTATTTATTAAATTTCTGTAGATACAGGTGGCCAAGAAGACATCAACAAATGGGGGCGTTCTTGAGCTCCGCCGCCAGCAAGGACCAGCAGTGGGAGCACGACGAAGCTCCACGACCAGATTCCTCCAAGAAGATGCGGGTTTCGATCCCTCTCTGCAGCCACGGCCACCCGAGGCTGATCCCGGGGCTCCCGGATGAGATCTCTCTGCAAATCCTCGCGAGGATGCCGCGGATGGGGTACCTGAAGGCCAAGATGGTCTCCCAGAGCTGGAAGGCGGCGGTAACCGGCGCAGAGCTGTACCGGCTGAGGAAGGAGCTTGGCGTGGCCGAAGAGTGGCTGTACATACTGATGAAGATGGCAGATGATCAGAAGCTGGTTTGGCACGCTTTCGATCCGGTTAGCAACCAATGGCAGAGGCTGCCACTCATGCCTGGGATCAGTCATAGCAGAGTCTATGGGTTGGGCTTGGGGGATCTGGTGAGCGCTGGCATAAGGATCTTTGACATTATCAGAGGCTGGCTTGGTCAGAAGGAATTGTTAGGCAGTATACCATTCTGTGGCTGTGCCGTCGGCACTGCTGATGGCTGCCTCTATGTTTTGGGTGGGTTCTCTAGAGCTTCCACAATGAAATGCGTGTGGAGGTATGATCCCTCTGTCAATTCATGGCAGGAGGTGAGCCCGATGAGCACCGGGCGTGCCTTTTGCAAGACTAGCCTGTTGAACAGCAAGCTGTATGTTGTTGGTGGTGTGAGCAAAGGCAAGAATGGGTTAGCTCCGCTGAAATCCGCTGAAGTGTTTGACCCGGCAACTGGGGTTTGGGCTGAGGTGCCAGATATGTTATTCTCCAAATCGCAAGCTCTACCGATGGCCTTAGCTGATCTACTGAAGCCTATTGCTACCGGAGTGACCTCATACAGAGGGAAGCTGTATGTTCCTCAGAGCCTTTATTCCTGGCCCTTTGCTGTTGATGTTGGTGGAGAGATCTTTGATCCTGAGACAAATTCATGGGAACAAATGCCTACGGGCATGGGTGAAGGTTGGCCTGCAAGGCAGGCTGGAACGAAATTGAGTGCTGTTGTAGATGGCAATCTGTATGCCTTGGAGCCAGCAACTTCTTCTGGCAGTGCCAAGATAAAGATGTACGATGCTCAAGAGGATACTTGGAAGGTTGCTGTAAGCCAGGTACCTGTTGGGGCCTTTGCCGAGTCAGACAGTCCTTACTTGCTTGTTGGATTTCTTGGAAAGCTCCATTTGATCATCAAGGATGCGGGTAGCAGAATCGATGTCATGCAAACGGACTCTCTGAAACCAATGGATTCACCAGCCCTTTTGACTGGCATAACATGCCAAGTCCCAGATGTCTCCTTGGAACAAGCAGATGTTTGGAAAGCCATTGCGTCGAAAAGTATCACAACTGCTGAACTTGTCAGCTGTCAGGTTCTTAGCATTTGAGTTTTTAAGGTTGAGTTTCTCTGGATCTTTGTATAAGTTTGTGCAGTAGATATGTTTCTGCTGCACATCTAATTTGTCAGGCAACTTCTTGTGGTTTCAACCTGAAGAACAGGGTCTCCGTCTTCTGTTACAAATGTAATCAGTGAACTGCAGAGATTATTTTCTGTCAGCAATGTACATATGTGTGTGCAATCTGGGTAATTCAGTTTTGTAATTGTTTTCTTCTACTCTTATCTATGTATATAACATTACATAAAACTGAATAAGGTTGTTGAAGCTTTGTCCAATTCCAAAGGCAACAGTGCTGAGTCAATCACCAGAGCAATCTGAACCCAGTTCATTATTCAAACTGCTGTAAATTCCAGTTTTCATACCATGTACTTTGGTTTCTCCATGGAAAGTGTGTGCAATGATCCCCTTGAAGAGACGTGTTTCCTCCATCCATGATGCATTCCAGAACCTGTTAATCTTTATTCACAATTTTTTTTTAAAAAAAATCCTTTTTTGGTCAGTCAACTTGAAAATATGTTCCGTTCCTGACTTGCTTTCACAATCTTGGATCTGTACATACTCCTATGTTCCTCGAGCTCCGCATCAGAACATTCTAATTCAAGAAGATTGGCATGATCTCTGGATAATATAATTTGGCATTTTAGGAGCAGGCAGTACCAGTATGAATCGAATCCATGTTATCATGATGCCTTACCACAAGTTCCTTTGAACTGGTTGCTGGTCAAAAAACGTGAGGCTCTTCAGTTCAGCCGCATACTTGGCGTGTTTTTTTCTTATTGACTCCTGCTGTCACTTGCGTGATGTCGATATCTGTCTATCTGTAGATTGTCAATAATAGCTGCGAACAAAAAAAAAATGTGGAAGCGTCTCATGATTATCGCCCTGCTCGTTTGGGTTTGTTTGGCTTATAAGCTATGGCTGAAAGTACTGTTGGCTGATTTAGTGTGAGAAAAAAATACTGTTCATTGGCTGATAAGCATATGGCTTATAAACCAAATACGACCAAGCGAACAGGCTGAATGTTGGCAAGTGCTCTTCGAGCCTAAAATAAAAGCACTTCTAGAATATGTTGGAGAGATCAATTCTGTTACTCATCTGTCCCAAAAAAAACCGAAGTCTCGTTTACCAAAGAGTTAAGCAATCTCTTAGTTTTGTTTGACTTCTCATGAAGCAAGATTTTCATTCTTTGGTTTCTCCAGTTCATTGTTCAAACGTTGGTGTGGTGTTCTGCAGATTGGAGTTTAAACCCTCCATTTCAACATTTAAAGGCATTATTCCGATATCTTACATAAAAACGTTGAAGCTTCACAAAGTGTTTAGTGAGATTTGAAAAAATATTGAGATCCTCTTTGGAATGCGGGACCTTTTTTCTATTTCATATGAAAACAAACTTATTCCAAAGTGCCCTGGATCTAGTATTTTCAAATGTTGACTAGTAGTTCAAAATTTTAGATATACTAAATATTTTTAATGTATTATTTCAAAATCTTCACATAAATGTTTCCAAACTGGTAATCAGGTTTTGGGAATTGTTAAACCAATTACACAAAGTATTGAAAACACAAAAACATAAATATAATAACACTAGAAGGGCTCAGGATGCACGACTTTGGGCTGACATCCGCGAAGTGGGCCGACACCAACAGAACCGGGCCGCTACTTGCGAGCCGGATGGGCATTGGGCTCGTACTATCTCACAGACACGTGGGTCCGGAGTCACGCTCCCCTTTCGCACGTGCGCGCCGAAACCGGACGCCGTCACGCCGGTGCCGTCGCCGCCCGAACCCGCCGCGGTTTCGCCATCGCGCGGCCGCCCACCATTTCTGCGACCCACCCCACAGAAAAGCTTCGTCCATGTCGTCGCAGCCGACGCGTCGTCTTCTTCTTCTTCTCCCCCCTGCTCCTCCTCGTCCTCCTCCTCCACCCCTCCTCATTCGAACCCGCCATGGCCTCCTCCAAGCCCCTGCCGCTCCGCCTCGCGGTGCCGCTCGCCCTCGCCCTCCTCCTCGCGCTCGCCCTCGTCGCCAACTTCCTCTGGGCCTCCTCATCTCGTCGAGCCTCCCGGCTCTCGGCTTCCTCTTCCAGAACGGTAACCACGCCTCCGCGCGCCGCATTGCCCTGGCACGAACCAATGGCATGTTCTGAACCATTGCTCCTCTCGCAGGTGATGCGGAAGCGCGCCAAGGCGGTGGGGCACCTGAACGCGACGTACGCAGACCTGCCGGCGCCGCACTGGGACTGGGAGGAGATGCCCGCGGCGCCCGTGCCACGCCTCGACGGGGCGTCGGTGCAGATTGGGGATCTCCTCTACGTCTTCGCTGGGTACGGGAACATCGACCATGTGAGGCACCTTTGCTTACTATCGCCTTGTTCCTCTGGATTCTGGACGATTTCCTTTTCGTAATGTCTTCACGCTTCCTTAAAAGATTGAACGGCTAGTGTAAGTGTTCGGTTGTGCTGGTAAATAAGTCACCAATCGAATTATGAGCTAATTCCATTACATCGAAGGTGCAATCTGTGTAGTATTAGCTTCATTTGGTTAGCAGCTTTGAGTTTTTCGCTTTAGCATAGAAATAGAATGCAGGAAAAAGGAATTGCAAAACTAATCATACACGTATATCACTGATCGAATCTAGCTGTAAGGTTTTAACTTTTCCCGGGACGTAACATTTAGAATTTCAAATAGTAGGATCTGTAGTATATGAGCAAGATCAAGCATTTCTTACTGCGAATGATTACTACTGCAAATCTTGGCAGTATCCTTCCTTTCTGAACTATTGCTTTGTTCATTGCTTTTCAGGTCCATTCTCATGTTGATGTTTACAATTTCACTTCTAACACATGGGCCGAAAGGTTTGATATGCCCAAGGAGATGGCACATTCTCATTTAGGAATGGCCTCAGATGGTAGATACATCTATGCAGTTTCAGGACAGTATGGACCACAGTGCCGCGCCTCGATCAATCGCAACTTCGTTTTCGACACAGAGACTAGAGAGTGGCATGAGTTGCCCCCTTTACCACTTCCTAGGTATGTGTGGTACAGTGCACTTAGTTTATTAGCCATAAACCCGTTCATGGAGTGATGCTTATGTCTTTTCTATGTTTTTTTCTTCTATATATCATTTATTATCATGTACACACTTGTTCAAATTTGGTTCTAGTCCATTGGCTTTACCAATTCATGCTACTATCCAACAAACATGTTAAACACATAATGCCAGGCATCTGCTTGTTATAATTTTGCTTCTAATTTTGCATTTTCTAATGTCTGAGCAGTTAACTAAGAATCAAATTGTAGTATTCTGTATGGAGAATAATCTTTTAGTATGCCACTTGATCAGCCTAAACCTACAAAATGACATTAACCTTTTAGCAATACATGGAATTATTGTATTATAAGGCCCTCTATATACTGCCAATGTTTATTTTCAAAATCTGCTGAAATGGTTTATTGCTTGCATTCTGTATTTCTCTAGTTGTTTCTGGCACATAGCACCAAAAAATTTTAATTTGTGAAAATTTTCAGGTATGCACCAGCTACTCAGCTTTGGCGTGGGCGGCTCCATGTGATGGGTGGAGGCAAAGAGGACCGTCATGAACCTGGATTGGAGCATTGGAGCCTTGCTGTCAAGGATGGCAAGGCACTGGAGAACGAGTGGCAAGCTGAAGTACCCATACCACGTGGTGGACCTCATAGGTATGTCGGAGTGAACTTGTGTCATTTGCCTGCAGTCGCGATGAGGTCATGCCTATTTTGAGGGATGATTGTTGGTATCTAGTGCTTAGACACTCAGACTGTTTATCCTTTGTTGTGGTACAGTACAGATGTTCCGTCGGTTGTCATTTCTTTTTTGCGAGACCCAGTTACAGACGACGCTCACAAACACGAGCGCACACTCACCCCTATGAATGCACGCACGCACACCCTACCCCTATGAGCACCTCCGAAGAACTGAGTTGGACCGGCAAATCTTGAGATTGACGAAGTCACCACGGGCGCCTCGCTGTCGACGGGCACGTCGCCTATCACTGAAAGCATAGCATCGTTAATTCCTGGAATAAATCCAGGAAAATGCGAGCACCCGTGTCAAGTCGGAGACTTGAACTCGGGTGGGCATGTTCCACCACAAGGAACCCCGTTGGTTGTCATTTCTAAATGAACAATACTTTGTAATTTCTGACTTCAACTTTTTGCAGGGCATGTGTTGTAGCTAATGATAAACTATTTGTGATTGGTGGACAAGAGGGAGACTTTATGCCTAAACCAGGATCACCTATTTTTAAATGTGTTCGGAGGCATGAGGTGTGTATGTGGTTCCTGGAGACGCTTATTCGTGCACCTGTGGTTTATTTTCTCATCATCAAAGACTTGCATTGGACCATGTTGAGTTCTACTCATGAAAACATGGTATCTTTAACACTTTTTTTTGGTGTTCATAATTTCTTTAAACAAATAAGTTCCTGCAGTTGGGATATTACTTCCTAATGATTGCTTGAACTTTGAACCTCAAACAAAAACCTATATTTTCAATATCGGTCCTTCTGTCCAAATTCCTCTTTTGTGTGAACATTTTTCTGCAGCTTAATTCTTATATGTTCAGAATTTCACTCTTTCAGGTTGTGTATGGTGATGTGTATATGCTAGATGATGGAGCCAAGTGGAAGCAACTGTCCCCAATGCCAAAGCCAGATTCCCACATTGAATTTGCTTGGGTTATCGTTAACAACTCCATAGTAATTGTTGGTGGAACTACAGAGAAGCATCCTATCACCAAAAAGATGATTCTTGTTGGTGAAGTCTTCCGTTTTGATTTGGAAGCATTGGTAGGTTATGTCCAAGCCATTTTTTTTTCTTAGGGTCATTTTTAGTTTTATTGTGAATCCATGGCAGTTTTCTCTGAATTTCGAGGGTGCAACTAAATGAATTAAAAGTCTCTATGCCATTCTTGCAGACCTGGTCAGTCATTGGGCGCATGCCTTTCCGAATCAAGACAGCCTTAGCTGGGTACTGGGAGGGGTGCCTCTATTTTACTTCTGGGCAGCGAGATCGTGGGCCTGATAATCCAGCTCCAAAGAAAGTTGTTGGAAGTATGTGGAGGACGAGGCTACGCTTGTGATGGTACAAGTTGACAGGTTTTTTTCTGGAAATTATAGATCTGTATCTGATTTCTAGTTGAACAGCTAGGGCCCTCAACCTCAGAGAATTGCTTGTATCCTGTATTGTCTTCGGATGCATACTATCTATTTTGACTAGATATTTCAAATTTAACATTTGGGCTATTAGCTTGTAAATTGCCTGAGTACTGGCAGTAAAACCTTGTAAATACCTGCCTTTTCCAACAGAGGTTTGCCTAAACAAAGCAAAGGTTTCTGACTTAAGTTAAATCTGCATGACTGGATCTGTTTCCATTTTCTGACAGCCAGACGCCCCAGGTGTTCATCCCACTTTTTGTGTCCTAACATGTCAACCTGATTTCTTGTTAATATTGTTTCAGAAAGGCTAGCGCCCGGACGTCCAGACGGGGGCTAGCGTCCATACGCCTGCGCCGCACGCCTGCTTCGCGTGGGGTCCCGCGCCGCTCCATGTCCCACGCCTGCTTTGTCTCGATCTGCGCCCGCACGGTTTCCTGCCCCTGCCGCTCGCGCCTCCTCCACACCCACGCGCATGCAGGCGGGCCCAATAGTTGCAGCAGACAGCCGTTGCAGATGGGTCCACTGCAACATCTACTTTGCAACATCTAGAGGAAATATTTACAACATACGTCCAAAACAGTTGAAACACTTGCAACATACATCTAAAACATGAGGGAAATACGTGTGTAGCCATTGCAGAACATATGCAACATCTAGGTATGAAACACTTGCAACATATGTGTGAAAATATATGCAATATCCGGATGAAACACTTGCAACATAAGTGTGAAACATGAGCAACACCCAGATAAACACATATGCAACATCGGTCTGAAATAGCTGAAACATTTGGAACAGACGCTTGCAACATCCGTGTATAGCATTGCAACATATGCAACATCCCGACCCACTTTTGCAACATCCACATGAAACACTTGCAACATGATATGAAACAATTGAAACACTTGAAACATACGCTTGAAACATGCGCTTGCAACATCCGAGGAAGGAAGGGAGTGCGAGGTGCAGCCGGAGAAGCCTGCTCCGAGTCTGGCCACTCCGGATCTCGTGATGTCGCAAGATGAGGTCGAGCGTTGCGGCGACAACGGTGGCAATAGCGGGCACGACCTCCTGGTGGGGAATGGCGGCGTCGACAACACCTCGACGCGATGAGGGATGGGGCACGGCTTGCAGCGGTGAGGACCGGGTACGACACAATGAGGCGGAGTGGGCGCGGTGGGGATGGAGCACAGCGCGGCAGCAGACGTGTCGCGTCTCGACGTGGGATGGGGTGCCGTCGCGAGGCGGCTCGGGGCGGGCGACAGCGCGGTGAGCCGCAACGAGCGAAGCGGGGAGTTGGGGATTTCTATGGCTATCGCAGTGGAGTAGACAGAGGAGAGAGAGCGTAGATGGGCCTGTTGGCCCGGTCGCTGTGCTGGAGCGAGCGCAAAGTCTAGTTTTTTTTTCAGATTCTAGACGTATGTTCTGTAATATTACCAATATTGTTTACTTGTTTTGATTCCCACATCCGGAATCTGAAGTTCAGAGATGTCTCCAAACAACCAGAAGTGATGTCTTAAAGCAATCTTGCCCTCCAATGGACGCAAGCAACTATCGACCTTTGTGAAAAGATTATTCTTACTGGAAATATTCAATGCAAAGCAATGGAATAAAGGAGAGGCACCATATCCTGATGTATTCTTTCCCTAGCTGTTGCAGGGAGATAGATTTGTTGTAATAGGCCTTTGTGGGCTGACCCAAGGCCCCCCGTCCGAAGCAGGCCTAGAAAAATCCGAAGCTTCAGAAAACGGGCCGAAGCCCAAACCGTCCCTCCCTACAGAAAGCAGCCAGCGTCTTTCCCCAGTCGTCTTTGCTTCCCTCTCAATTCTCAAAGCCACCGCCGCCGCCGCCGCCACCGCCACCACGTCGCACGCCCGGAGTCTTCGTCGGCGCCGTGTAGCCCTGCCCTTCCCGGTAACGTTGCTCCTCCCTCCAGTCCAGTCTATACGGATTATGGACTCACGAGTGAATTCATATGTTCGTTCTTAAATGATCTCCCTGATCCGAGATGGTGTTCTCTTATCTCCGTTCGGTATGTTTCTGTTTTTTTCGTCTTCGTCATCATTCAGGCTGAAGTACTGTTGCAGCCCAGGCCATCGTGTGGATCCCTGCCGGCCGGCTCGATGAGTTTCCGGCGGTTCCTGTACATGATGTGGGACGTCGAGGCAATCGACGGCAGCGGCTCCCTTCGCCGCATCGACACGTCGCGCCTCTTCTTCCGTACACCTACCGAGGGCACACCAGCGCCGCTCGACAGCGGCGGCATCGGAGCAGGAGCTACTGATCCGTCGGCGGCACACGACGGCGGTCGCCTGCCTGACCCCGCAATAAAGCTGTGCCCTCCTATCTTCCCACGCAAGGTCGGTGAAGTGGTTCATGCTCTTCAAGAACAAGGGCGTGGTCGCCATCGACCGCACGGGCTGCAGCTTCATGTGCGAGTGCGACCCCGCCGACGACAAGTCCCTCACCGTCCGCGCCCTGCCCAGCCTGACCGCTCCCAAGTTCTCGCCCTTCTCCCTCACCGTCGGCGAGAGCCTGTACGTCATGGACACGTCCCCCGTGCGCAGCAACGGCAGGCAGAGGCACAGCTTCGAGGTCCTCTCGCACGCCGACCACCGCACCTTCCGAGGCATCAAGGACTGGTGCTGGCGGCCTCTGGACCCGCCGCCGCTCGTGGAGCACCGCGGCAACCAATGCCACTCCATCGACTCCTACACGGTGGACGCCGGGAGGCTCCGGCTCCGGCATCCTCGTGTCCAACAACGCCAGCCGACTCACCAACCGCTTCGACACGGCGAGCGGGGCGTGGCGCAAGGCCGGCGACTGGGTGCTGCCGTTCACCAACCTCGCCGAGTACCTCCCCGAGCACAATCTCTGGTTCGGGATCTCGCCTGTCGAGGACGACTGCCGCTTCTGCGCTGCCACCGTCGCCGCCAACCCCGTCGCGTCGTCGTCGTTGTCGGTGGCGATGGCGATGAAGATGAAGAAGCCGCCCGTGGTGCGCGGCGTCTGGAAGGAGTACGCCGAGCCTCCGCCGGAGTGGACCCCCGCGTTGTGCTACGCGGTGCACTTGGGCTCCTCCAAGTTCTGCATCGTCAGGTTCTTCTACACTGGTAAGGTGTACGTCTGCCCGGAGAGCCACCGTTCGTACAAGAGGGAGAAGGAGCTCCATGTGGTGATCACCGGCGTCGAGGTGCAGGGCTGTGGCAGCGGCGGCGGCGGCGACGTCCAGGTGGTCAGGCACAAGTCCGAACGTTACAAGGTCGATGTCAGACTCTACTACCAGCTACTCTAAGAAAGGTCGTGTTATCAAATGTAATGCAGTAATAATAAGTTATAAGTATATATAATGTAGTCGTCGTGCCATCATTATATTATTATTCAGAACTACTGTATATATTATCATACTAGCTAAACAACCGTGTGTTATTATGGCCAACGAAAATTGCATTAACAAAAGTTGCTTCACGAGAATTTAACTGTTAGTTGGAAATTGTTTATAACTTTTTCTTATATAAAAACTTCATAATTATTTTCATGGTAACAAAAATCATAAGTTCCTTGCCAATATGAAATTACAATTAATATTGAAACACAAAAATCTCGCATCATGGTGAGTATTGTTCAAAATTGATCCAAAAGGCATCGCAAGCCACAAAAACTATAAATCCGCGCAGTTGGGAGGCCGCGCCACGGGGCACCGTGCTGGGGGGCGGTCGTGCACCTAGGGGCCGCCGCACTGCCGCCCGCCTGAGGGGAGAGGGAGAGGGGAGAGGACGGGAAGGTGGGGGCGGCGGAGGTGCATCGGCCCGGGAGGACATCGAGGTCGGGGTCGGGGTCAGGAGGGAGGACGAGAGGAGAGAGGCTGGTGTTTTTTTTCAAAGAAGGAAGAAGCCAGAAGCTGACTCTATATTTCCTTCTCTAGATTCGGACGAGAAGCTGGATAAGCGCACGAGAAGCCGCTCCCGGCGAAATCAGCTCCAAGCGATCTGGGCCGTTGGATGGAAGATCTGACGGAGGAGAAAAATTGGGGTGACGTGGCTGGTTGTTCTGGGCGGAAGCTCCACGGGTATTCTAGGGGAGAATCCCAATGGTGCAGGTTTGTTCCATGCCTGCTTGCTTAAGTTTACCCTGAATAATCGATGGACCAAGGATTTGGACATGGTTGATTTGGTTTGGTGGATCTAATGTGAGATTTGGTTTTGTCTTGCCATGATTTTGGTTGGGCAAGAATTAAAAGCTAACCAAGCAAGCCACCCATGCTGACCGAAGACCAGCGTTCTGGTGCCCCGCACAGCAGTACCAGAGATGGAGCCAATTTTGAATGCTCGTTGACAGAAGCAGAGTTGAAAGTGGGACCCCAACCAGGCCCCAGCGAGGGTCCACCAGCGCCACAACCGGCACTGCTATCTCCATCAAAACATACCCTCTTCGGCCATGGCGTAGAACGACAGCCTCCACCAAGCCCTGGCTAATCATAATGATTTCTGTCATCACTAGCGGACTTGAAGTCATCATCAGAGGACTCCGGCGGCGGGTTCAAGTTCTGTCATCACTAGCGGACTTGAAGTCATCATCAGAGGACTCCGGCGGCGGGTTCAAGTCATGGAACTCGACGATATGAATGTGTCCCGAGCTTCCGCCCTTTAGGGGAGCCGTCGTCCGCCATGGCTCGAGGAGAATGCCGACCTAGGGAAGGAGAAGTGATGTAGGGTGGCACCGAGGCCAGAGTGGCCATCGGCGAAGAGGGTGGGCACAGGGGCTGGGCTGGCCACCGATGCAGAAGGTGGACACCAAGGCCGGAGTGGCCAGCGGCGATTGGAAACAAAATTTCAAAACAAACGCTTACCCTCTAACAGTCACCTTCTCTCCCAAAATTAGCGCGCCAAGCATTGTGAAGATGACCGATAGGTTGCTGAACATG